CCCCCCCTACTTCTCGCGTCTACTTCACCTTCCCATCTTCTTGTGATGGTCGAGCACGCGCCTAGACGGACAAATGGATGGACAGGCACACATGCAGAGCAGGATCAACAAGCAACTGCCACAAAACGGGCTGACATATCAAAATCGTTTATTGGGAGCCACCCCCCACCAAGTGCCCGACGGGGAATTGAGTTGGACCGATTCCCACCCTTGTCTTACATACATACCTAGTACCTACATACCTACCACATACCCCACCCAACGCCACGCATAAAACGATGGAGAAGTTTGGGGGCGGGATATGGGTGTTGCCAAGGAGCCACTAGGGCCAGGGGGGTTGATCACACTGTCCCAAAGTCCCAGGCAAGGCAGACATGGGAAAGGTGGCGGCGCATCAAACGCAAGAGAAGGAGCATATCGAGGTTGCACGAAAAACAGGGCTTTTTGGTTCCATGGGCACGTGAATTTCAACGCTTGGACTAGTCACCAGGCTAACATGATTTGGGGGCGGTTTCCTATTGGTCCAGAATGCTTGTTTGCACTCCTTCTAGAACAGGGGCCCCGTCCTCCCCGCCCGTTTCTGGCGAGCCCGCGTCCTTGTCCCTGGGCCCTCCGCTGAGGCGCCGCCTGTGCGGGTGTCGCCTTTGGTGGATGGCTTCGTGGTGTTTTCTCTGTTTTGTCTCATTGTTAGCGTCCATGTACAGTAGTGGTAGTTGTAGAAGTAGTAGCATCAGCAGCAGCATCAGAAAACTCACCATGTTGTCAACCCTGCTAAACTTGCGCCCGCAGCCCTCAGCGGGGCACTCGATGTTTGGGTTGTGCGACCGCATGTGCCGCCTGCAGTCCTTCTCGGACGAGAAGCCGTTGTAGAAGCGCGGGCAGCCGTCGATGCTGCAAAAGTGGCTCTTTGTGTGGGCGCGGTAGTGCTTGCGCAGGTCGCACGCGCGCAGGAAGGCGCGCGTCGACCCGCACCCCGGGTGAGTGCACCGCCAGCTTCCCCCCGGCCCCGTGGGCTGGCACCCCATCTCGCGCACGTCATCGGGCATCCAGTCGGGCCCCGCCCGCGTGCGGCCGGCCGACGCCGAGCGACCGCGGAGCGCGGCCGTGGAGGGGGAGGGGGAGGCTGCGGTGGTGCTGGTGGCTTCAGTGGTGGTGGTAGTAGGTAGCGACGGGGACATTGCCCGACTCGCGTCCGTCTCTTGTTCTGCCGGCGTTGCTGCTCTTGTTGTTGCTGACGATGCCGCCGCCGCCGCCGCCGCCGCCGCATGTCTGTTGCTGCCACTGTAAATACCTCCTGCCGCCCCTGGCGCCGCCGCTGTTGCGAACAAGTTCGCCGCCACCGACGCGAGGTCGGGATCAAGCAGCTCCGGGTCCCACATGCCCGCGTGCGAGGGCGCCGGGCTCGCCGCCGACGAGTAGCTGGCGGCGGACGTGGCGTAGCCGGGGCGTAGGGCCGGCGAGCAGGGGGCGCTGAAGGAGTCGCTGTGCTGCAGCCGCGGCGGGAAGAGCTCCGACGAGCGGCGCTCGCCCTGCCCGTCCTCGAACCCGAAGATGGGATCGACCCAGGCGTCGTCGAAGACGGTGGTAGTAGTGGTGGTGGTGGCGGTGGTGGTGGCAGTGTCCAGAGAGTCGGACAGGACCAGCGTCGGGGTGGTGCTCATGCGGACGGCATGGTCCGCGGCGGCTTCGGGGGCAACTGCGAGGTGGTGTTGCTGCCGGGCCTGCGCTGCCGAGCTGGCGTTGTGTGTTGGGAGGGGTTCTTGCGAAGGAAACCCCCATTGCTGCAGTTGTTGGAAGTGGTGTTGCTGGTGTGCGGCTTGGGCGTACTGGTGCTGGCGATGCTGCTGCGGCTGGTGTTGGTGCTGCGACCGGTAGCTCCTGATGTGGTCTCCCTGGACATGCGCCATGGCGTGAAAGTGGTCTAGTGCTAGTGTTGGGTCGATGTTGTTCTCCAGCAGGGAGAGCAGGCGTTGCTGCTGACGTTCCTGGAGTGTGGGCTCCTCGTTCCCCCATGACATCCTCCAGTCCTGATTAGGCATGGTGGCATATGCTTCAGACAACCTGTCCGCCTGTCGGACCGGCAAACACCCGAGCATTTTGTGAGAGAGTGTGTGTGTGGGTGTGTGTAGGAGTGTAGGATAGTTATAAGTGGCAGATGCGTGTGTATGAGGGGGCTCTTGCAGCTCAAGAGTGATGTGATGCGATGTGCTTCCCAACGGGATGGTCGGAAGGATCGTAGATGCCAGGATGGGGGGCGGGCTATGCTGTTGATGCGGCAGGGTGAGGCCACGGGAGAAGGCGAGAGGACGGGACGGCCAACTTACTAAGTATGCCTCGAGAGATTCACGGCATCAGTTACTACAGCCTACTATTAGCGGCGGCCGTGGCTGGGCTAGGGCCCGGGGTGGAGGGCGGGCATGCTAGCCGCCCCTCCCCTTTCTAGGCCCGTGTCCCGCCTGTCCCCTAGCCCCCTAACCCCTGGCAGGGCGGGATCAGCACAGGTAGTAAGTAGCGCCTTGCAAATCGACACCCACATTGCCATCAGCACGGCGCCCCAGTGACGACGGTCAAGCTAGGACATTGCCACGACCCAAGACGTGGGTTTTTTTTGGGAGAGCTCCTCCCCACAGGACAGAGCGGAGGCAAGCAACTTGCTTGCACTTCCCGATCAAAGTCCACACCAGGGGGCTGAGCCTGTACCTGTACGATATTCCCAAACCAGCCATGGCCCGACGACGAGATGCTACTCTGGGCTCACGGCGTCCCATCCAAAGGATCGATGTCCGCCAGGCCAGGCCCTGTCGACACAAGACCCATGCAGGGCTTGCCCTGAGTCGAGCAGCTCTAGCGGAGAAGAAGAAGAAGCTAATGCGTCAGTGGTTGGAGAACGAGGAGAGAGAGAGAGGTGTGTGGTTCCCCCGTCTAGCGCGTCCCACTCGAGGGAGGGGGTGTGTGTATCATGTCGTCCAATATACGGACCACGTCCTCTCCCGCTCGTGGAAGGAGAAAAAAAAAAAGGATGCCGTGACGCGACCCCTCCAGGCAAGTCAAGCGATCTGCTTGCTTGTTCTCTTGTTGCCGGTGTGCAGTAAAAGAGACGCGACCCCCCTCCTTCTCCTTCTCCCCCTGTGGCAGCCGGCTTGGCCCATCTCCCGCGCGTCCTGCGTGCATTGCATCGTCTGCCGGCTAGTGTAACGGCCGACGATCCCCTTTCGGCTTTCGTGGGGGCTCTGGCTGACGTGTTGGCTAGCAGGCTGGCTGTGCTATTTTCAAGGCTTTGTCGATGGCTTGTCGCCTGGCTGTTCTTGCCCTCCTCCTCCTCCTCCACTTCATCAATGCTCCACCGTCAGCAAGCGTGGAGCAGGGCGGCCCTGGCTGCCGTTGAACGACGCTATGCAGTCCGCGACTGCGACCATGATCCCCACAAAAAACTCACTGGGGAAGTCGAGATAAAAAAGATAAAAGACGTCCAAGGGCCCCAGCCATCCGAATAGGGCAACTCGTACCCAGTTTTGTGGGTCCGCGACCAGCTCAGACTCCGGAAAACCCATGCTGAGGCTCAATTTTCTGGGCTGGCACGCTGGACGGCTATGGGCCCTTCGGCAGCAACGTCCATTGGCCAGGTCGCCTAAATCAGGCTGCTATTGGCCGATGCCACACCCACCCGGCCCCACCCGACGTCGAAATGTTCCAGCGGATTTGTCTGCCGGGTAGGGGCCACTTGGGGCCACTTGGGGGCTCGATGCCGAGACCCACGGGCCGAATAATAAGAATAATAACAACAGCGGTGGTAATCTCCATGCCAGATAGACCGAGTTCTAGACGGAGCCGGGTCCGTGTGAATCACAATGGAGACAAATCCACCTGGGTTCGCCTTCACCTGCCCCGGAGCCTGTCTCGCATCGTCAACCTCCATTCTGTCGGCCTAATTAACCCAGCGTATGGCGAATGGGGTGGGCCGACCCAGCTGGTTCGCGCCCTCTGATGGGCCAGTTCGCTTCAGGTTCCTTCTAGGCCAATGCAATTCTTTGACTTTTGAGCACCGCCGGCCCACCTCAAAAACACCAATATCCATCCGCCGGGGAATTTCCCATGCCTCATGTCCGTGTGGACGTCCTGCTGCATCTCATTGTTTCCTATTTTCGGCCATCTTGGCATCCAACCCTCCATCTCGTCTCCTCACCGCACGCCGCGCAGGTAGCCATTATTCTCATTATTCACCCAACTCAACTATCAACCAAATCCTCCCCTCGACACCGTAATTTCACCGTCCCCTTCCGGGTACCAGGGACCTTCCCTCTCCCATCATCACCTGCCACTTGCCACTCCCGGAGCAAACCACAAACCCGGGCGACTCTCCACTCTCCAGGTTTCCCCTTTCGTGCCGTGCTGCCTATCTAGAGTGGGGAACCTTTCCCTAGCGCCTGGCACCCGTCGTTGAGCGTATTCTTGACCCACCCGGACGGACAGGCGATTGTTTCCCTAATGCGGTAAGACGCCGGCCGAGAACTGCTTCACCTCAAGGCAACAGCGAAAAAAAAAAAAAGGACTGGCACCGCCAGAAAGGATTTCTTGTAATTAAACCATCGGCCCAGGACCAGACCAGATCATGCACCTCCCGATGCTACCCTGAATCAGGGCAGCGCGTAGACCACCGCCCACCCGACATTTGCTGCTGATGATCATTACCCGTCGATTCAGAGTTTGGCTCGCCCTGACCTAATTTCCCATTCAGCCCTAAGGCTGAGCAAAATAAGGATGTGGCGCAACAAAAAAAAAAACGTTGCCGCAGCCACCGCCGTATCTATTTATAGATGGCGTCCGGGTTCAATTTGCATCAAGCAAACCATGGCAAAGATTTTAATGGTGAAAAAGATCCATGCTTAAATTACCGCGGGGGATAAACGCAGCGCGTAATAATAATAAAAAAGCAAAGAAAAAATTGGGCGTGGCAAGACTCGAACTTGCGTTTCTTCGGCCACAACGAAGTGTACTAACCCCTATACGACACACCCTTTGTTTCTTTCCGACAAGCCCGCTGCGCCATTGCGTTTCTCTTGCGTTTGAGCTCGTCGTGTGTTGCACTCGACCCGGCGCGGGGTTTATGAGGACTCTTTCACGACTCAGACATGACGCCATTGGCTCGTGGGCTTCTGCCAGGCGAAAATACGTGCTGTGCTGGTAGGGCTGGCTAACATTAATTCATATGGGGATCTGCTTTGGCACTGGACAGAGTATGTCTCACACTGACGTGTTAGTCCATCAAACCTCGATTAGGGTATCGCCGAGTTAGCATCATGAAAGGATACAAGATGCTATAAAGGATGCGTAAATACGACCTCGACGGGAGCTTTTATCCGGCATGTGCAAATGGCTGTCGTGTTCGAGGCATTGTTGTTGCCTCTTAGTTGCCCCGATGCCCTAATGTCCTCCATGGCATATAAGGTCGAAAGGGATACGTAAATTTATATATCATGAAATACTCAACATCGTTGTCGGTAACTGTCTTTTTCGTCGGTTCTGTAGCAGAAATAAGTGTGCTTACGCATCCGACAAAAAGTTGCACCACCCACCAGCTGGTAGATCAAAAAGAAAAGAGACACAGTCACATCTCCTGGCCTATCGTCTATCCGAGCCTGCTCGGACTAGCCAGCGGGGGGCGTCTTCGTGCACTTGTTTAGCTGCATTCCCACCACCCGGGGAGATGCCGAGCTGCATCCCCACAGGTCCAACAGCCCGGCAAATGTATGTACGACATGACATGTATGCTTAAACTTCTGAGATCATCAGCGACTTCCCTCCCATCCCCCACCCTCCATCCTCCGGGATTCTCTCTGGCTGCGTGCACCTAGACCTTTCGCGGACCGGGCCGCCGCCCTCGCCGCCTCCGCCGGTGCCAAGCCAGCCGCCCAATCAGAGCCGAGCGCTCGTACTCAAAAACGCTGACGAGGGTCTTCCGGGCGGCCGGGTGGCCTGCACCATGCGCCATGCAGCTGGCTGCATAATCCCGAGGTGAGCTCGAAAATAGCACGATGCCTGCAGGGGAAGCGTTGGTGCCCACCTGGGGAGCCTCCGTTCCTCCAGGGGCTGCGCGCTGTTCGACCCAACACCACCATCACCACCATCATCATCACCATCACCACCTGGACGCCCGCCGCTGTCGTGTCCTAGATCCACGTCTCTGGGCTAGACCTATTTCCTCCACCCATCCTGTCTGGGGCCACAGATGGCGCCTGCCGATCAAGGCAGCGTCCCGCCCTTTCTCGTGGCCTGTCCGACCAGCGAGTTGGTCGTGTCACGGGCGTACCGCTTGTACACGTCGACGTACGACTGCTCGTCGCTCCACGTGTTGACGACACACGGCCTGCTCACGATTGCGTCGTGCCAGATGCGCCAGCGCCGCCACACGGACCCGCCGCCACCCTCTTGCGCCCCCTCGACCGGGATCCCGACGCCGCCGGCCTTGTAGTGGTCTATCAGCCAGAGCCTCTTCGCCCAGGGGGCCAGGCTGACGTCTACCAGGCTGAAGCGGTCGCCGAGGAACCAGGGGCCGACGTCGCCGGTGGAGCCGTCGCCCTCGGCCGGCGCCATCTCGCGCACGAGCGCCTCGATGCCGTCGTGGAGCTCCCGGCGCGCCTCGTCGAGGCTATAGGGCTTTTCGGGCGTGTGCTGCAGCAGCTTGTAGAAGCCGGGCACCACCTTTTTGGCGATGTGGTCGATCCAGATGCGGCAGCGGGCGCGCTCGTACGGGTCGCGCGGCATCAGGCTCGGGCCGTGGACGGCCTCGTCCGCAAAGGTCTCGTCCAGGTACTCGCAGATGACGGTGCTCTCGTACAGCGGCTTGGGCTCCTGCCCCTGCTGGCCCCCGCCCGCGGCCGGCCGGGGGACGGCCAGGGTGGGGACGAGGCCGCGGGGGTTGAGGGCCAGGAACTCGGGGGATTTGTGGTAGGGGTTGATCTCCATGTACTGGTACGGGATGCGCTTCTCCTCCAGCACCATCCAGGCGCGCTGGACAAAGGGGCAGAACCAGCCCGAGTACAGCTTGAGTGGGTGCTCGGGCGCATGGGCTTTGGCAAGCTCCGCGGCCCGGCCCGTAGCATGGTCGAGAATCGAAGTGTCGACTTGGGCCATTGTGAAGACTAGTTGTCACTTTTAGCTATTGGGCTAGAGAAAATGAATAGAGAAGTAAAGACGGTGAATGCAAAGAGAAGAGAGTAGGTATATACCTCCAAGCCAGCAGGGCTGGGATTGGGCATGTCACAGGGACGTATGCGGGGTGACGTGACCTTGTAGTAAACCGCCGGAACCGTTGGCTGATGTGGCCCATCGGCCGATCGGTCGCCCCGGATTTTCCGCCTGCCTAACGCCCGTCGGCCGGCTCGTTCGCTCTCGCGGTAAGCTTATCTCGCGGGGAGTTGTCCCCTGGAGTGCTGGGGAAGAGTGATTGGACAGCTCCCCAGCCTTGGACAACCCCTACCTACCCTCGAGCACAAGCACAGCACGACGTGGCCAGGCCGAACAGGGTCTTGCAAAGGTTTATGGGCGTGTGTAACATGCAATAGGCGTTGGTGCACGAGCTGGCCGCGTGGGTGCGGCGGCGGCGGTGTCTCTTGGGGAAGGCCTTGCTCTTCAAGACCTGTGGCAGTGGTATGCAGCTCGTGGCCTTGGGGCCCGTCCTCGTCTTCGGTTTAGTAGTCTCTGTCGTCGTCGTCCAGGCGTGCCCACACCACTCGGGATGCCCCATGGTAGTCTAGTAGTCTGTCCGAATCAACGAGCAGCCGCCTGGCCAAACAGTCTGGACCAACACATCAGGGGACTGGACTTTTCTTTTAAAGGCCGCCTGCAAAGCGCCCAGCCGGCCCAGCGCCCTGTGCTTCCGCCAGGCTTCAGCAAATCCGCAGCTCCCACAGCTCCCCCCGCCAGCGGGGCCCGCTCTGGCTGCAGCGGATGATGAATCCGACCCGGGTTCGGCGATCCAGAACCTGCTCAGCTGCCGTTCTCTGCAGATACAGCCTCACGCAAGCTAGCGACCCCGCTCTGGCCATGGACGATGCTTGGACGAGAGGTGCAGCTGGCGCGTGGAGCCTAGGGTTTCGGCGGTGTAGCTTAGCGCCATGTCGTGCTGCTTGCATCCACTAACGTGCGACATCACGAGCCGGGTCTAGCTTGACGCACCGCCCCACACAAGGTGCCTAGCGATGCCTGGACGCTGGACCGTGCGTGTTGGGGCTTGGGAGCACGCACTGTGCGGTCCTGCAAGCTGTTTGGCACCACTTTACGCGTCGACACAGCACGACGCGGTGGAGCATCGCCAGTGAAGCTGCATCTGCTGTGCGTCGAGGCTTGGAAAATCACCCGTCGACCACCACCAAACATATTGCTTCCCACCCAAGCCCATCCTCACCCTCAACCCGCAAAATGTCAGACTTTGAAGATGAGATGGACATTGATGTCCCGGCAAAGTCCAAGGACGTCACCTTTTCGGCAGAGACAAAAGGGAAGAGGAGTGCGGCAAACCTGCCCGTCGAGGCCGAGGACAGCCTTCCATGGTGCGGACACGGACACACAGACAAGAACGCAGACAAGCACATAAACACTCGAGATACGCCAAGCTGACAGCCACCTCCCCCTACAGGGTCGAAAAGTACCGCCCGGTGAGCCTCGCCGACGTGTCGGGCCACCAGGACATCCTCGCCACCATCAACAAGTTCGTCGACAGCAACCGCCTGCCCCACCTCCTGCTCTACGGGCCCCCCGGCACCGGCAAGACGTCCACCATCCTGGCCCTGGCCCGCCGCATCTACGGAGCCGACAACATGCGCCAGATGGTCCTGGAGCTCAACGCCTCGGACGACCGCGGCATCGACGTCGTGCGCGAGCAGATCAAGACCTTTGCCTCGACCAAGCAGATCTTTTCCATGGGCCCCCGCAACACCGCCGCCGCCGCCGCCGCCGCTCCCTCCTCCTCGTCTTCATCAGCCCCCTCGGCCGCCCGCACCGGCAGCACCATGGCGTTGTATAAGCTCATTATCCTCGACGAGGCCGACGCCATGACCAACACGGCGCAGATGGCGCTCCGCCGCATCATGGAGAAGTACACGGCCAACACGCGCTTCTGCATCATCGCAAACTACTCGCACAAGCTCTCGCCCGCCCTGCTCTCGCGCTGCACCCGCTTCCGCTTCAGCCCGCTCAAGGAGGCCGACATTCGCGTCCTCGTCGACCGCGTCGTCGACGAGGAGTCGGTCAACGTCGTCCCCGAGGCCGTCGACGCCCTCGTCCGCCTCAGCCGCGGCGACATGCGCCGCGCCCTCAACGTCCTGCAGGCCTGCCACGCCTCCAGCACCCCGCTGCGCGAGCGCGGCGCCAAAGCCCCCGGGCCGGGAGACGCGGTCGCCAGGGACGTGGTGACGGTCGAGTCCATCTACAGCTGCATCGCGGCGCCGCCGCCCGACGCCGTCGCCGAGATACTCAAGACGCTGCTGGGCACGGCCGACGTGGTGCAGTGCCTCGGCACCATAAACGCCCTCAAGGCCTCGCGCGGCCTCGCCCTCGCCGACATCATCACGGCCCTTTCCGAGGAGGTGGTCAAGCTCGAGGTCAAGCCCGAGGTCATGATCCGGTGGCTCGACGGCCTGGCGCAGATCGAGCACAGGGTCGCCGGCGGCGCCAGCGAGACGGTCCAGACGGGCGCCGTCGTCGGCGTCATCAGGCAGGGCGTGGAGCTGATGGGCTGAAGAGGCGAGTAATGTGCAGAATGCGATATTGTTCTTTTTTCTTTTTTTTTCCCCTCCCCGCGCGTAATGATATCAACGAGCAAATAGACACATTAGCATATTGTCCTTTGAGAAGTTCCCTCACATATAACAATCTTGATGAAGCCGGCGATATATACAAGATTGTAGACCAAGACAAGGACAACACTCGGATACATCGAGCCTGTAGTCACAGTTCAATCTGCGGCCAGTAAATCAATACTAGAACCAACAAAGAACAACGCCGTGGAGCCACGAACAAACGCCAAACAGAGAAGCGCCGCATCAGAAACATTCATTAAAGTCATATCAAGTCTATCTGTCTATCAAAAACCACAAAAGTCAACCAAACCCCCCAACAGCACTGTTCGCAGCGGCGTTTGCGACAAGGGGACATATATCGACACCGACAACCCCCCACGCCCTACCCGGTCCGGTTGGCCGTCGGCGGGCGTACGTGGTCGAGGGTCGACGTGCTGTCCATGGTCTTGTCATCATGTGACCGCGATGGCCGGCCGTTGAGGGTCGACAGGTCCATGTCGCTCGACTGCTGCGCCATCATGGGCGCCATGGTGCCTGCGCGGCTGCTGGCCGGCCGCCGGCCAGCCTCGACGTCGTCGCCCGGCTCCGCGCCTCGCCTGATCCCTAGCCCCCTGACCGCAGCCATAATCCCACCACCAACACCTCCACCTCCAGTCCCCGCAGCGCCGTCGTCACGCCTTGTGTCCGCCGTCATCGCCATCGCGGGTGCGGGCGGCGGGGCCGAGGCGCCGCTGCTGGGCTTGGCGAGGCCGAGGCAGGCGCCCAAGGCGGAGCCGAACGAGTGCCTGTGGACGGCGGCGTGGACGAGGTTCCAGACGCCGAGCAGCCACATGAGCAGGAAGACGAGGGGCGCGCCGTGGCCCGGCGCCATGCCCCAGTAGCCAAAGTCGCTGGGGAAGACGGAGCCGCCGATGCCGATGTAGACCATAAAGGTGGCCAGGTAGGCCAGCCCGAGGGCCAGTCGCGCCATGAGCGCCCACCCAGGCCACGGCGCGCGGCACAGCGCGAGCGCCCGGAGGTCGAACAGGGCGTCCAGGGAGAGCACGAACACGAGCACGACTGCTTCTGGTCTGTGACAGGGGAAGACAGAGGGTTAGTTTGCATTTCGAGGCCCTTCCTGTCTCGGGCTTGCGACACGGGTCGAAAACGAGCTGGGTGCGACTCACGACATGGTGCGGTGCCACATCGACGTGGCGAGAAAAGAGGACATGATAGCCAGGAGCATCACCACGATGGCCAGGTGGGAAGCGCAATTAGTGACGCGAAGGGCCAGCCGGAGGATCGAGGCCCGCCGCTCCTGCGACTCGGACCGGGAGGCGCCGCCGACGTCCTCCTCGTAGATGGAGTTGGCCGGCGTGTACTCGAACATGGGCGTTTCGATGAAGCGGGACGTCCGGGCGCCGCTCCCGCTCAGCGGGCGGTTGGAGTAGGAGACCGACCGGCCCGGATGGGGCGATTCCAGCGGCGTCAGGCCGGGAGACAAGGGGGCGGCCGCAGCGGCGGGCGGAGTGGCATCTTCACACGACATGGCGAGCGTTGTGGTTGTCGACTGAGCGTCATCATTGCGCTTGCAGAGCGTCTGGGTGCGGACCGAGGGCTCGCTCATGGTCCTGGCGATGGGGGGTAAACTCGACGGCAACATGATGTCGTGTGACGTCTCGACGATATCGCGGGCTGCTAGGATACGGGCGGAATTCCGAAAAAGATGACGAGACCAACGACTGGCGGCGCAGTTTCTCACTGCCAACCCGCTGTTGGCTGCGTGGCGGCCGCGTCAGGCAGGCTGTCGGCTGGCGCAGGCGCATTCAACGGTATTTCCAGCTGAAGACGAGGCGTAAGAGAGATGCCGTGGAAGCTTGCATACAGGCAGATGGAGCAACGAGCGGCTGCATGTGCGGCGTGGCAACGGTGGGCGGGTGGGTCGCAAAAGACAAATATAAAACGAGGGGCAGTCCGCGTCCAAGGCGACGACGGGCAGGGGGGCTGGCTTTTTTGGGGCGAGGAGCTCCTCCGGGTGGGAGAGGGGCGCAGACGGGAGTTTATGATGTGTGGGAGCCAAGCGAGCAAGCCTTATCTCGGACGGCAAGGCGAGATGGGACGGACCAGACGACGAGGACGGCCGCACTGGCTGGGGCAGAAGCTCAACCTCTCAAGTCTCATCCCATGCGGGTGCCGAAGCCTAAAGGGCGCTGATAAAGCGCGTGTGTGACATGGCGGACGGGCGGGCGCTGTGTTGGAACGGATGGCTAAAACGAGTGAAGGAGCCAGGTCGGGCTGATCTCGAAATCGAACGTCTTTGTCGACGGCGCCAGCGCGGGCTCGCAGAAAACAGAGAGGCTCGAGCCCCGGGGGGCTGCGGACCCGCTCGAGCTACAGGTCGTGCATCAGATCGGGGATCCCAGGGGGCCGTTGAGAGCTTCTCTCCGACCCCCGGGTGGGGCAGAGACCCAGTGGCCAGGGGCTGTCTGGGGCAAATCGACGGTCTTTGCCGACGACGCAGGGGACGTCTGGCCAGGCTAAAACAGCCCGGCCGGACCTCCAGGGACCCAGAGAGCCAATTAACCGCAAAACAGCAACTCTGGTATCGAGCAAGCTGCAAATAAAAGCAAATAAAACGAGACGTGCCGACATGCCGCTGCAGTAGCGGCACCGAGTACAAGAACTGGCCAGGTCACACGCCCGCACAAGCCAACACGAGCAAATTTAAACAGCCATAGGAGCCAGTGCGCCCACGAGCCGGACACGCTGGACGCGCTGGACTCGTGGTGCTCGGTGTCGGGTGCCAAGGCCATACTCCAACGCTCCCGGGGGCCCCTCCCACCGTAAAGTGAAGCCAATGTTACCCAACGAGACTGCATGTGACGCCAGGTCTCCCGTCCCGCGTTGCCACGCCACTCGGCGCTTCTGGCGCTAACGCACGTCCCGTTGATGCTCAGTTGAGCGTTTGAGATTCAAGGAACGAGGAGGCCAGGCGCATACGGGCAACTCTTGCCGATGCCGCACTTGGGCGAGGCGGCTCTCGTGTACGCTTGTGTAGGGCAGAGGTATGCGTCCATGTGGCATGTCCACGAGATAAACGAGCGCCTTGTGCTCCGCCGGCGGAGAGATCTGACGCGGCAGCTGTGACGTCGACGGGGCTGTGTATGTACGCAGGAACATGCATGCTGGCTCGAGGAGAGAATGCCATTGCGCCAACAATGGCTTTCTCAAAACATAGCCATCCGGGCTTCCCCAGTCAAGGTTCTTGGGCGCCTTCCGTTACAGGGTCCAATCTCGTGTCGTATAAACATGGCCGCTATTGTTCGCAACGTCTAGGATAAATAAATGCTGCTCCGAGAGGTGCAGGTATGAGATGTGGTCGCACAGAGCGCCGCTCTCATATGTCGGCTCAGACTTGCCTTTACTTCGTCACTGCTCTGCGGTGGCTCGACCGGCCTTGTTCGGCAATCCGCAAAGGGTTTCGACCCGCCGAGGCGGGCAGAGACACACAGTTGCAGATATGCCGAACAGCCCATGTCTGTTGTAACCCCCCGGCTCGGAAGTATCTGTTCGTGTCATCATCGCCAGGGTCTCGGGAGCAGGGAACTTGGGTGCGGCATGACACGGGCTCGGTTGAAGAGCCGGCGGGAAAACGGCTATGAGATCAGCGTCGTGCCCTTGACCTTGCCGCTCTCCATCTTGGCTGTTCGCGACCCGAATTGTATCTAATCGCATGGTCAATAGTGCGCATTACCTCATGGGATCGCCCGCAAGACGTTGACCAGTCCGACTTCGCTAGGGTTTGGACCTACCGCCCGCTTCTTCTCACCCGCGACACCAGGCATTCCCAATGTCAGCGCCAGCAGCCGCAGCACCCTTTTTGCAGGCTCAATGTCGGAGCCATCACCAGGGCTGGAGTTCTCTGCCGTGCCAAAGTCGCACTTCTGCCAGACTGGCAATTCCACAGCCCATCGGACGAGCCGCTCGTCCAGAAATGGGAAGCGGACTTCCCTTCCCCAGTTGGACATAATCCTGTCGTCTCGGCCCAGGTTGCGCTTCCCAAGTCTTCCCACATCCAGCATGAGCTCCTCCACCAAACCCTCGTATCCTCGCCGAGAATACGCTGTCGCGTGGCGAACATAGCCACCGAATAGCTCATCGGCGCCGAGGCCTGAAAGCAAAATGCGGGCAGGCGTAGCATAATGATCCCTATTCGGCAATCTGGCCTCCGCGGCGGTATAGCACTTACCTTTGCCGCGGGCTGCGAAATAGAGCGCGTAGGCGATGGATAAATCCATCTCTGTGTTGTGTGGGTATATCAGTGAGACGACCTCGGGCCTGTGGGCGGTGGTCTCTGCAAACGGGACGTTGATCTGTTGTGTGTTAGCCGCTATAAGCAAAATCAAGGGATCACCAACACCAGCGACAAGCATTAGCGCTGAGACGCACAGCAATGAACCGCCAGGCCCGCTCTGGACAGACCCGAAGGAGTTCCGCAAAGGATTTTCTTCCGGTAACCCTGTCCGGGCAGGCCTCGTAAAGGTCATCCTGTGGATGACACTTGTCCGCCTGAGAGGCGATACGGGGGTTCTCGAAAGCCACATTGACAAGGTCAATCCCCTGTGTTGCCGGCAACAAATCATGACACAGTCTTGCCAGAACAGTACAGTCCAGGCCACCCGAGAACAAGACGGCGACCCTCGTGTCGATATCCTGACCAGATGAGGGCGGCTCCGGAACCCCTAATATGCGAAGCCGCAGCGACTCTGTCAAGTGATCTCGCAACGCCGAGATCGCGGCAGCTTCTGGCCAGGCCGGCGGCTGAGAATCTGAAGCTGGACGCAGGATCTGGGTGTTGAACATTCCAATTCCGGCCATCTCTTGGCTCAGATCTGGAGTTGCAACCCATGGATGCCGTACTGGGGCGGGAACAGAGCCAGGGGAGAGCGTGCTCAGTTCAAGCATGTATATCCCGTCAGCCTCGACTTCTACCCAGTTAGGGTCGAGTCTTTCAGCAACGCTTGACAGACACAGCGAGTCATTATCCCCGTCGCGCCTTGCCAGAAGGGAGCGGCGTCCAAGGCGGTCTCGCGCATAGAAGAGCTTGGCAGAGGGCTTATCAAAAAAGACGAGCGCGAACGGACCCTCGATAGAGCGGATGGTGTCGAGAATGTCCGTGTCCGGCCGGTTAAGAAGTGCAAACAGTTCCGCGCCATCGTTTCCCTGAACACCGCGGCCGTCCATCTTCCAGGCCTCACCGTTCCAGCAGAGAACCGAGCCGGATAATGGGTCCTCAAAAGGCTGGATGGTGACTGCGTTCCCTCGCAGTGAAAGGACCGTCGAGGTAAATGAGAGGAGCGCGTCGGCGAAGCGCGTCTCGACATTGCCGACATGGTCAGGTCCGCGGCTGCATAGCCGGCGCCTGAGCACGCTGTCGAGAGGACGCGGGCTCGAAGACGCAGGCCAGATCGCGAGATGAATGCCGCACATACTACCCAGGCTCAACCTCGTTGGGCCGAGGTATGTCGTGAGACCTGGAATTCAGCGCTCCCCGCCAGAAATTTGCGTGATTGAGGCGGAAAACGGGTGGAGGGTTCCTCCTTCCATGCTTCAAACTCGAGCGAAGAAAAGAAGTGGGGCGGGCACTGCTCAGCCAACGCCATGGAATCAACATCACCATGACAAGTTGAAAAAAAAAATCAATGAGCAGCTTTGGACCCCGTTTTCATGAAAACGAGACAAATTTGTGGAACAAACTACCAAAAAGTAAGCTAGCAACTCTTGGTTTCGATCCAAGGACCTCCGGGTTATGAGCCCGGCGCGCTTCCCCTGCGCCAAGTTGCTTCTGAATGTGGACCCAGAAGTCGGTGTTGCTGCCGGGGTTTGGAAGTTGCTTTATATACAGCGTGACGTACGGTACTCCATATGCATATTTTGGTATTAAGCAGGCACCGAATTGGAATTAAAAGGAAAGGTAAGCTAAGTAAAATAAGTGATGAACTACAGCCTAAGTTTTCCGGCTTCTTTTATTAATTTGGAATGGTGATTGCAATGTGGTTCGAACCTTATCCAACTCTCACTAAGGACCAACGCCTCGCACCTCACAGTAGTGACATGACGCTGTGTATTGGTCTTCACCCCGAACCTCGGCCTGCAAACTTGCGGCAGGAACTGATGATTGACAAGGTACTCCCGGAATCAGCTGCTTGCTGCTGTCCGTGAGGCAGCTACCTGAGCCACAGCCCTCGGCCTAGTGCCTAAAAAGCTTTGTGCACTTCAAGGCGAAGGGATCGATTCACGCCATCTCGTTGCCTGGCACCCTGACCTTATCCCGCCCAACGGTGTCCTGCATGCAGCTCCAAGCACGTCGCACCACGTTAGTGAGCCCCCTTCCTCGTGGCTTGTGGGGCATACGAGCCAGCCGTTGGTGTTGGGCAAGGACAGCAAGTGCCGGCCGTGGTCTTGGGGGGCGCAGCGATTCGGTCCGCACGGCCAGGCGGATTGCTTACAGCCCCGCGGCGGGACAGGTCTGTTAAGCCCTCTCTGATCTCCCCGTGATAACAGCATAAAGACTGACAGACTAGGGCGGCCGGAAACATCCTATTAATCCCTGCCCAGGACGTCCGACATTGTGGCTGCATACAAGGCTACAGTCCCAGTCGGCGTTGTCCAAGCCGAAAGCGTCCAATGCGCAAGGGATGGAAGGTCCTCGAAACCAGCTGACAGATACACCACTCACTTCCCTTCACTTCCTTTCGGTATGGCACTTGCCGGTGAGTGCTGCGCCGCTTATTGACCATTGCTATCAAACACGACCTCCCTTGCTGCACTTTGGAGCAGTCGCGCAATCTCGGTACGACGATCTAGCCGCCCAGCTTGCTTTGCCGCAAATCCACTTCCAAGCCACCAAGGTGTCCGTCCGGCTTAGCATTGCAGTGTGACAGAACCACCGGGGGCACGACATGCAAAAAGATTGTGCTACGGCGCCGACTCGATCGCCTGGAACTGTTGCCCAACTGATGAGATGGTCGGGTCGGTGCCTCAGCACGCCCAGTCAAGGCATCATTCATGGTAACGCGCAAGGTCGTCGTCACTTGGTGCGCAGGAGGGCAGATACACGAACCAAATGTTTGCTCTGATTGGCCAAGTGGCAGTCATTCGCATGGGTATAAACTCTGGCGGGCCTCAAATGTGCTGCGCGTCTGCTGCGCCGCCCCGAAAATCCTACGCTGTTACCCTCTGTGCCTCCGCCCCCCAATTGCGGGCAGAGGGGGCCCCATCGACGGTCCGCACCAACTGCGCTGTTGGTCCGCACTTTCACAGTCCCGTCCCGGGGTTTGGCAAGCCACTATCGATCCCTCTGCCCCCCAATAATAGCACCCTCGAGGACCGCGTCGGGGGCACACACGACCGGACAGCCGAGACTTGCCGTTCGAGGCGATGCACCCGCCGCCTCGGGCGCCTGCAGTAGCACACTAGATCATATCGGGATGGCAGTGCCTGCCGTGTGCTCGAGTTATAATGCGGAGGCGGCGCTGTCGTTCTCGCACTTAGCACGAGCGTCCTTCGCTTTTCCCCCTCGTCAGCCCATTGTGATAATCACCCTTTGCATATCTGCTCTCAGGCCCAGTGTCAGCTGGACACCCACGATACCCGCTTCTCTTCTTTCCCGCTGCCTTTGCAATGCCACCGCCATCACTACATCTTTGGCGTCGGGATGAATCCCCGGCAGGTGACCAAGGCGCATCCCATCCAGGCACGGCCTGGATTATAGCACCCATCATCTCCGCCACGATCCTTATAAGCCTAGCTGTCGTTTGTGTAGTCAGACACATCCTCAACCAGCGACGGAAACGCCGACAACAAACACCGACGACAGAAAAGCCGTGCAGTCCACACATCAACTTCAGGAGGAACAGGAAATCGAGCCAATTCGGGAGCATGGACGGCGAGGAGGAGCAGCGGGCCATGATAATCCGCAAGTCGCTTGCTGAGCGGTCGAGTAGATCCAGCGAGCACTCAAGGCGACACGAGAGTATGTCCTCGCTCGCCAGCATGCTTGCGCCCTCGGCGAACGACAAAAGCGGAGACGAGTCAGATTCTGACGGCGAGGGCGACCTGCCGGCGAGCGACGACAGGAGGGCCAGCGGCGGACTGCGGGACGACTGGAAGGAATTCGAGGCGAGGGTCCAGAGGGAGCGGTCCTACTCCGGGGAGATTCATCCCGCGGTGCACCCGGCCCTAGCTAGGCCGCCGCCATACCGGGACCTGTCGATACCAGAAAGGACGGTGACGCGATCCCGCTCCTCCAGCCAATGTTCGCTGCCAACCCAGGACTTGCCGCCGCTCCTGCCCCACGTTGTCGCTGGGGTGCGTGTAAACGAGCAGGGCAGAGAAAATGCAGGAAGCAGAGGCGCGGGGAGGGGCAGGCCGAGGAGTGAAATCCCAGATATTACTGTCCACAGGGTTGGGTAACATGGCGCGATGTTAGTGTGCGGAGGAAGATACCCTTGCTAATTTACCACGCTTAATTGTATGTGACAATGCTTGTCAGGAGGCAGTGTCAGAGGCAGTGTCAGAGTGCTAGAGTCAACAAAACCGCCAGGATTTATTCTTGGTAGCACGAAATGTATATTAGTATGAGGAGGTTGAGTTTTGGTCGAACCAAGATCTCCCCTCCTTTTCCTTTCAACGTTTGGTGCCACGATAAGGCTTGTGGAAATCTATCGTACGCCTTTTAAGCTTGACCATTTAGATCGATTCCTAGATTTGAGGCTGCAGGCGCCCACTGCCCAACTGCCCGAAGCCTCCAGTACCCTCTAGCGCTACCAAAGGGTTTTCCTCTTGACGGCTGAGTCAGCACTGGCCACATAGACTGACTTCACCCCAATCGTGCTGCCTGGGCTCGAGAATCTGGATTTCTTGCACATCCCGCTCCGACCGTGTTCTCGGGCCATCCTCTCTCGTTCATCTCCATCCGCTCCACGCGCTGTCGCCGTCGAGGTCATCGTCGAGACTCTCGTTTACCTGTCTCCCAAAGTTGCCGGCCACTTTCACGAACGGTAGCCTTGACGATTTCCGCCCGGTTCTTCTGGCAGCTCCGCGCCCTCCCAAAGGTCTGGCCATTCTCTGCGCACGAGGCGCGAGAGACAAAGACGTGCCATCTTTCTCCGAAAGCATCGCCCGACCAACCTTGAGTGCGCCATTGAGAACCCTTGGGCGGTTGCAGCCAGATCGGTATCTCCTTTGACGGCTTTTCCATTGTCTTCACTTCGTAGCGTTCTCGCGTCTGCCCGAACACGTTCTTTCAATCGGCCGCTCCAAGTTCCAGAATCTGCCTCTCTCTGCCTCTCGCCGTGCCGCCAACTCTCTTGATTGCTAGCTCTTCCCGTCTACAAATAACATCGGTCGTCGGCCTCGACGACCCAGCCCGTCGCAAAGACGCATTCACCGCTCTTCTGCGCACTTGCTACAAACGTCATCAATACAAAGACGGGCATTCCAAGCCCGCGCATCCGCACGGCGATCGTAAAGAAGCGCAGAGACCTCAGGACCTCGCGCAGGAACAGGAGCAAGCGAACTCGACAGGCTCTCCGCGATATCTCCAACACTCCGGCCGCCAAGAAATCGTGCGCAGTCGCAAAGATGGCGACCGCAGGTGGTGGACCAGACGTCACGCCCTACGAGGCCAATCTGAACAACATCGTCCAGTGCAAGGACTGCGATAGACCCACTGCTCTGTTTGAAGAGTCTTCGTCCGGAGACCTTGTCTGCTCTGAGTGCGGTCTCGTCGTGGGCGATCGCATCGTCGACACCCGCTCCGAGTGGCGTACGTTCGCCAACGACGAGGGAGGTGACGACCCGTCGCGTGTCGGTGACGCCGGCGACCCCATTTGGAACGACGGCTCGCTCGAGACCAAGATCGACACCAGCCGTGGCCAAAATGCCAGCGGCAGGATCATCGGGCGTCTCAACAACGCCAACAAGAAGACACAGAATGACCGCGGCCAGGCAGGGCTTCAAGCGAGCTTTGCCAAGATCAGCGAGCATGTCGACAAACTCCAGGGCGGCAAGCCCGTCCTAGACTACGCACGCCATCTTTTCAAGATGGTTGACGACGCCAAGTTCCTCAAAGGAAAGTCGCCCGAGGCCGTCATCGCCGGCTGCATCTTCATTGCCTGCCGAGCAAACAACGTCGGCCGGACGTTCCGAGAGATCCATGCACTCACCTCGGTTTCCAAGAAGGAGATTGGCAGGGTCTACAAGAGCCTCGAGGACTTCGTCAAGCGCAACCCCGAGGCAACCAAGAACGGACTAAACGCTCACGCCGACGAGGATGCCAAAGGCCCCACCCCCGCCGAAGAGCTGTGCATCCGCTACTGCGCGAGCCTCGGCTTCAAGTCCACCTACACGGCCGAGAAGATCTCGAGGCGTCTGGCAGAGAGGAGCTCCTCGGTTGCCGACCTCGCTGGTCGGTCGCCCCTGTCGGTGGCGGCTGCCTGTATTTACATGGCGTCCTTCCTCATCGCGGATCCTAAGACAACCAAGGAGATTGCGCAAACCGCCGGTGTCAGCGATGGCACAATCAAGACGGCCTATCGATTCCTTTTGCAGGCCAAGGACCAGCTGGTCGACGAGGCGGGCTGGGGTCTTCCCAAGGAGGGCGGGATCAAGAACCTTCCCCCGAACTAGAAGTTCGCTGAGCAGATCAATGACCCCGCCAAACAGCCTTCTGCTCCTCCTGAACTTTACTGGGCTGAGCCAGACCTTCAGGTCATCGGGGTTTGATTCGCGGGTCATGGTCCCACGTGGCCGTACGGGTTGGCTTATGCCGACCGTCGCCAGGGGAAGGCTGTGCTCTGTCTGCGTGTGCCTATGAGCGCTACTACATGATGGGTCCGGCATGTTGGTTCCTTTGAAAGAGGGAATCAGACTGGAATCCTCTTTTACAACGGCTTCGTGCCTTATTTTCACTCTTTGCTTGCCATGGTTTCAGGGCAGAAAGACTCGAAAATGGTTGGCTGGCTTAATTCATGTCTCTCCCGAGAGACGTCTTCACACCACCAGATTTGGCAGTCACCTTAGATTGGACGCAGATATTTCTGGTAGGAAAGGCATTTCCCTGGTTCGCCCCCAGTGCATTGCCATTTCTGTGTGACCATGATTGCGAGCGTGGTGATTCACGAGAGGCAAGTCTACGACGAAGGCTGTAAAAAGCATCGTCGACACCTCAACTCATTCATGGGGAGATGGCTCTAGATGAGGGGCGGAGGCTGAACGTTAGCGGCGTTGAAAAGGCACAGCAGAGCTGCAGCGTTGAATTATTGTAGAACAATATAATGAAGCTTATCGTATCCGTCCGACACCTTCTGAGCAATTCGCTTCACAACCACGCATTAAAAAATCCATGCTTTTGCAGACGCGAGCACGCATATGGATGCCTGGATGTCTTTGCCTGACCGAAGTTATCCTGCGCCTGCACAGTGCGGGCAGTGTTGGTAATATATGCGCACGGACCCTATCAGCGCAAACGATGCGGCACGCTTGCGACGGTCTCTGGATTGAAACTTCAACTGCACGCGTCTTGAGCTGGACTTGACAGCTGATTCGACGACTTGATAGACACCTCCCATTTCGGAATATCCAGCCCTGGGCACGCCTGGACAAGACCAGAGGTATAGCAATTGCGCTGCTCCTGCGGGTCGTTGCGTTGGCTTTCGTTCCATTCTCGTTTCGGCGTCCAGTCAGGATCCAGAATGGGCCGTCGTTCTGGTCGCGCCGCAGCGCGACGTGCAGCTGCCGCCCTGGGTATGTCCTTCCCGAACTGTAACTCACCGGTGCCAATTCCCCTGTAGCCACTCTAAGTGCTCATAAGAGGGCTCTGAAGAGGTGGTCTCTTCTCCCCGCAGACCATTGTGAGCCTTCTACGGCAGTCGCGCGCCCTTCTGACCGACGCCGCGCTTCCTTCGCGATAGAGAGCACGCCCAAGACGTACGAACCCATGGATGACGAAGACGAGAACATGGCGGACGCCGCCCCGGATCCCGTCCCCGAGCCCGATGACGACGATGACGAGGAGGCGCAGGATGCAGGGCAGGATGAGGGCGACGCCGACAAGGAGGAGTCGGCAGCCGAGGAGGACGAGGACGAGGAGCAGCCTGCCGGCTCGGAGGCCGAGTCGGCCAAGTCGCCGTCCCCCGTGCCAGTGACGGTCGTGCGCCGGAAGCGCCTGGGCCGCCCACCAAAGAACCGGCCGCCGGACTGGGACAACACGGTCGAGGTTCCCGCGCGCGAGGGCGCCGACGCCACCCCGCGCGGCCGGCGGGGCCGCGGCGGGTGGAGGGGACGCGGCGGG